CCAGCCTCGCCCCCAGAGGGCGCCTTCTCTGAGGAGCTTGGTTATTGAAAGGCAAACGCCCTGCCCCCTGCCCTCCGCTCTGCTGCTCTCCTCGGCCTTTTCTTCCCCAGCACTTACTGCTGGGCGGTTACGTGTGTCTGCAGCCGCCTGTGTTTTGAGTCCCAGCTTCACTCGGGCAGGGGCTGTCCAGGGTCCCACTGAGAGGAGCTGGCGCACAGCAGTTCCTGTGGCACAGGGACAGAATTCTGAGGGCGAGCGCAAGTGGGATATAGGCCTGCTGGAGGTTTTAATTTTATTTAACACTTTCCTTAACGTGAGAGAATTTGGTGCATTCATGTGGTAGAGAGAGAAGCAGAGGGCTGAGGGATGAGGGGCGGGTCAGGACTGTGTTGGCTGCTGAGCAGCAGGAGGAGGGGAGCCGGCCTGCCACTCACCCTCCTCCCTGCCTGTGCAGAGCATGTACCAGGGCTACGGCTCCCCCTCCCAGTACGGGATGGCCGGCTCCTACGGCTCAGCCACACCCCAGCAGCCAGCAGCCCCCCAGCACCAAGGCACTCTGAACCAGGTAACGCCCAGCCCGTGTCTGTGTCAGGTTCCGGCTGGGGATGTAGTTTGTGAGTGTTGTTGAGCCACCCGCCTCCTGCCCAGCAAGTCCTGCTTTGAGAATGACGCGGGCAGAGCAGAGGTTTTGAAACCAGGATGGGTTTGGGGCTCAGCAAGGCCAGGGCCTGGGCTGTTGGGTGATGGTGGGGGCAGCCTGTAGTGTGGCAGCTTGTCTGTGCATCCCCCCCGCCTGTGCACCTGTGCACAGCTGCACACATGCTCTGGCCTTGCACTTACATGCACTTTGGCGGAGTGGTGGGGCTAGTGCAGGGAGGCGAGGGATCTGGGTTCGAATCCCAGCACCCCCTCTGGGGTGTGACCTGCTGCTCAGCCAGCTCAGTGAGAGTGGTGACTGGCTTATTGCAGAGCTGCTGGGAGTGTGTAAGCGTGTGTGCGCCATGGCTGATACGGTACACGTGCTCAGACCATAACCACTGTGGGGGGAGTGGTGGAGGGGGCTGCCACTTACCAACTGGGGGCATGGGAAAGGAGCACCTGTCTGAGCCCGTCTTCCCGTCTTCTCAGCCGTGGAAGGGTGGTTAGGAGACCCCGTTCCCCCGGGGAGGGTGATGGTGGGGCTGAAAGCTGTGATGTGACCTGGGTGTGAGAGCCACGGAGGCCCTGGTCCCGCCCTCAGTGCCTCTTCCTCCGACAGCCCCCCGTGCCTGGCATGGACGACGGCCGGTCCTACCAGGCCCCTCCCCCGCAGCTGCCAGCAGCTCAGCCCCCTCAGCCCTCCCACCCTTCCCCCGGCTCACGCT